ATATTGTCCAATCTGTTTTAGATACTCAGCTTCAGTTTCAGAAATACAAAATATAGGCGATTAAATATGGTGTTTATATTCATGCCAACAAAAAGCTGGGCTCCAGGACCTTGGTAAGGAATGTAATTCCCATTCTCACATTGTATATGGGTGACAACAGATTCATCCGACATCGTTCTTACCTGCAGTACCTTTTCCAGGAATATAACGCAGGATAAATCCAGGGCTTGCTGCGGTTCACAAGCTTTGCTGTCTGCAGTATATGGCTGCCTGCTTTTCTGATCCACTGACGACTGACCTCCCAGGATATCTGTCGGTGCTGGCAGCTTCCTTTGGGCAGGTGGCCAGGGAAGATCCTAGCTTTGTGGGTCTCTCTTAAGAAAAAGAACACAAATTTACAAATACAAAATTGGTTCCTGAGCTAGGTACATGGTAGTATATTTGCCTAGCATGCATGAGGCCTGAGTTTAATCACCATTATCACAGAGAAAACAACAAAACAAACAAACAAAAACACACAAAACTCCCCAAAGAATTAGTTCCAATGGTAATTTTTATTTAGGATTAGAAAGAAAATCACAACAAATAGCATGAGCCTTGGAAACCCGGGCTCCTTTCTCTTGATAGCGCTTATTCAGTTTATCAGAAATGGCTGCATAAGTGCTTCCTGTTTACCTCTCTACCAAGAACACTCTACAACTCCCACCTCTCACAGCTGGCTCTCTTCTGGTGCCCCACAGTTTAGAAACCCCAAGTCTAAGCTCCATTAGCTATTCATGCTTTTGCCTATGGCTGAATCACTGTGTTCTCTGGTCACTAGTTGGTCCCCAATAACCAGAGGGCAAGGCTCTACACATTGAAGAGCCCAGGCAGGAGAGCAATGGGCAGCATATTTCAAAGCAAGATCCACTCAACCACCTGACCCAGAAACTCCTGGACAGTTTTTTAAAAATGTAGACTGTGTCAGGCATGGTGCACATGCCTTTAATCCCAGCACTCAGGAGGCAGAGGCAAGCAGATCTCTGTGAGTTCAAGGCCAGCCTGGTCTACACAGTGAGTTCAGGCCAGCTGGGGCTACAGGGAGACCCTGTCTCAAAGAGTCCCAGAACCTGACTCTGGAGTAGGCTCAGTCAGTAGGTTTCCACACTTTCTAAGTGACTCTCACATTGAAAACAACTGCTCTAGGGCTATATTACTCAGAGTTTGGTCATTGGTAAGACAAAAGTCCTCACTGACTCCTGAGACCCCATCCTGCATTTCCTGATGCAGTAGTGGATGGTCCACAAAAGGGAAAGTCCCACTGCATTCCAGCATCCCTACTCTGTCTTGGCTTATCTGCCAGGTACTCCCTTTCACGTGCAGCATGTTCAGGCTCCTGGCTTCCCTGCTTATTGCCTCCATATACACAAACATCATACTCACAGTTTGGGGTCCTGATCCTTCCTCTAAAGAGTCAAGTAAGGTTGAGCCAAGGATCATTTCTAGGGGTGTGTAATCCCAGCATCCCTCTCTTGAGACTCTCTAATTTTCTAGAGTTCCAGGCTCCTTGGCAGGACAATGTATTTAGCTGAACGCAGAGATTAAACTTGGAGGGTAAAAAAGGTCAATAACAGGGCCATTAAATCCTCTGAGTAATTGCCTATGGACTTCCAAAGGACTGTCGATTAAGTCTAAGCAAAGCACAAGAATGACAGCATGGACCCAGTGAGAGAAAAATGCCTGCTGTCCACTGAGATACTTTGTGTGTAGACACCATGCCCACCCCAGACGTGTGTAGCCCCTGTGCCATCTCTATCAGCCCTGAATGCACATAGTGCCTGGATTGCTACCCTCTTTTAAGAGAATTTTAACAAGGAACTGGCCCTATGCTGAGACTGTGCACAATGGCCTTGAATTCTAGAATTCTAAGCTCTATTCTCAGAATTCTGGGCTTGGTAGAATTTCCCTTTCTTTCTTTTAAGCATTTGGGGATTGAACCTAAGGCCTTACGAACACTAGGCAAGTGCTATGCCTCTAAGCTACATACTTCCCTGTTGCACTTCTGGGTA